GAGCATAGACACGATAAACGAATACTTAGCCACTTTCTTTATATATACTATGGTCCGAAAATTCTCTATATGAATCTAGAAAAAAAAGTATTTAGACATGTAATATCTTTACCTTCAATATAGTGGTGTAGTCAGGACGCTTCCAGTGGTTCGGCGAGCGAACACGTAATATTCCAACATTATTATAGTCTATATAGTATTTCAGTGGATTCTTTTATTGTTCGTTTAAGTTGTATTTTTCATGGCTCATTTGAATATCAAATATTGTTTTGTATTAAAATATCTTTTTATTTTAGATGCCATCCGACGATTCTCGAAATAGTAATTTAGTAAGTAAAACTACTTCTCAACAAAAGAAAATCATATCATTGTTTTAGATTACATTATTACACGAAGGGTCGCCACACCTACCACCACCACCATTTGCTTTAACAATCTGCCGATTTTGGCAGGTTCCTGTGGGTTCCGAACAGAACCGGATAAGTCCGATGGCCGGATCGATTCACCGGAATACGACGGAACCGGCTGTTTCCGTGTTGGACTGTTTGACCTGGGTATGTTAAAAAAATGTATAAGTCTTTTGTATATGAATTCAGTCATACCCTTGAGTTTCACACAAATAATTTTCAGCAAAAGAAAATCATATAGGAATTCTTCTTTTTGTTTTAGATGGATTCAAGACGAGATGGTGTGGCTGTACGGCAGCAGCAATAACCACAACCATCACAGGCAGCTCCATCATTAACAACCTTGTCAACAAGCAGCATCATGATCATTATAATTATTACTAGTAAGTTCTACAAATTATTTTCAATGAACTTCTTAATAAAAAACTTTTTTTAGTTTTTGGTGCTCTAGCAATATGCTATATGCTTAAACCTGGCAAGAATAAATTCAAATTTTAAAAATAAATTATTTAATTTGGTTATTTAAATTTATTTAATTTAGTAAAACGAAATGAAAATGATGATCCAAATTATGATTTCTTGCGAGGAAATAGTGAGTTTTTATTTAATAAATAATCATTTATGCGTTTTTTTTAAATATTAAAATAGAAGCAGCTAGTGATCTGGATAATAAATTAACACAATACTCTGGAAAATATTATTATTATGAAGATGAACACTATATATATAAATTACGGATATTCAGACAAGTAAAGCAAATATCGAAAGATGGCAGTGGTAGCACAGTAAAAATGGGATCGTGGGATTCGTGGAGTGGAACAACAAATATAATTGTGTATTTTTTAAGCGCACATTTGATGGTTGGCCTGCCTTTTATGAAAAACACTCTCCCCAGGACGATGGTTGCAGAAGCAGGATTCTATGCATTTCCGGCAAAATCCCTGAAGAAACTTGCCATTCCAGGACGGAACCCGTCTGGAAAATGCCAGGAATCCTGCTTCCATGATATCTCTGGAATACCACGGAATCGGCCGTTTCGGTGCCGGATTGTTCGACCTGGGTCATCGATGAAAACTGTCGTGCATTTTGCACGGATCTCTGCTAGTTTGTCATAACGATGGGTATGCGCTTGTAGCTAATTTATATCAATGCTGAACCAGTGGTAGAGCTGCATATTCTTAATTCCATTAGACTGATTTCGGAAGTAAAATCAATTTTTGACAAAATCAAATTGTATAAAAATTCTTCTTTTCGTTTTGTTTTAGGAAAAATTACAACGAGAAGATATTGTGGTAGAGGAAGTGGAAGAGGATCATGAAGCATCTCAACAACTGACACAACCATCTGCTTCATCCATTTCAACTTCATTGTTAATTATCGATCTAGTTCTTTTTGGTAAGTTCTACAAATTATATTCATCAACTTCGAAATAAAATTTTTTTTCTAGTATATCCTATTATTGTTGCGATTTGCCCAATTATTAAGTCGTATTTTAATCATTAAAAAACTCAAGCCAAAACAAAAGTCATATTAAGATCTTTTTCTTTTTCCTTTCTTTCTTTATTCGTCATGTATTCATTACTGATTTATATAGATAAATAAAATTCTTTATGTCAAACATGTATAAATATTTCATCTAGCGAACAACAAAGAAAGAAAGTCTTTATGGAAAATCTATTCGCGTTTTTTTCATATTGAAAACAATTACTAAATTATTTTGAAAATAATAAACACTTTTCCGTCACTCAATGAAATTTATCGAGAGAAATTCTTTATTAGAACAAATAAAATTGAATAAAAAAGAAAAATTTCCTATAAAATCAATTTAATTTTAATCGAATTAGAGCAAAATATAGAATTTCCAATTTTTAATTCATTTTATTGAAGAATAAAAATGAAAACATCACGTGTATGAATTAACATATGTGTAAAGAGATAAATCAAATGAAGAAATTTCAAAGATTTTTATTCATAGAAATTATCTTTAGAAGAAAAAAAGAAATTGTTTTATTAGGAATTTTATAATAAATTAATAATATAGATAAATAATTAGTTCTTATTTAAGATAAAGATTTTTCATCGAAGACTAGTTTCAAAATAATAAATGAGAGACAGATAAATGAGTATTATTTTTATGATAATAATGAAAATATTGGATAAAATAAATATATAAAACAAAAGAGTGAATAAATTTTCAATTTATATATATTTCCATAAGATATGTGCATCAAAAAACATGATTTTTATGGAAAATCTATTTTGAAAACTAAATGAGATATATATGTGAAAATTTCATGCATCTTCAAATCAACGAATTTTTTTCAAAATTCATTTTTGATTTCAAATAAAATACAGATATTAATATTTCGTAGTTATTGTTATTATCTCATTTGAAATTATTTAATTAAAAGTAAATGATGAATATTGTTAGAGATTTTTTTTATATTATTTTCTTCGAAGATGTTAAATCGGTTATGAAATTAAAGAAAATAATATTTTTATATTAGATTTATATTATGATATTTGAATAGATAAATTCTTATTTATTTTATACGATTTAATCAAAATAAGAAAAATATAATGATAATGATGAAAGTTTTGTTTTCTATATAATTCTATTTATATTTATTAAAAATAAAATTCTATTAAATATTCAAAGATGAATATAATATAATAGTTTTTTTAATTTCAATCTAGAATTTGTCTTTTTGATGGATTTTCTCTTCTTATTTTTAGCGAAATGTGGATAATGTTTTCAATTTTTATACAAATTTTATATTAGAAAAATTAATGTTAATGCCAGCACAAGATTCTTGATCAACACATAGCGTAGATTAAGAGCATCTTGAAAGATTTGATTATGTAAATCAATGAAAAATTGAAAGATGCTAAACTTGATTTTATTGTCATTTCATCTTCAGATCTTTCTTCTAGTATATCAATTGAAGCGACTGTTAATCAACATATTGATATTACAACAAAACAAATTGCATATAAAAATTTAGATTTAGCTTTATTAGGATATGAATGTATTTTGTCAAATGAATATATCTTATAATTAAACTCTATGCTGTTGTTTGTGCATGTGCAATGCTAGGTAGAGTTAGTCGAATGACTGTTTCTCTTATGTTGTTATTATAAGTGAAGTTATTGATAGTTTATCTTATATTTTGTTTTCTTGTTAGTTTAAATAACATCAACAACAATAAGTAAATAGAAGATACATTCGATGAAAGAATTTACGAAGAAAATGATTAAATTAGATGGTTACTCATATTTAGATGCTGATGAGATATTAAAAGAAATAAAGTTTTATTTTATTTGGAAAATTATGTAACTTTTTGTTTTGCTTTAAAAATTGTTGAAGCAATACATTGTAATAATTTAAATGAAAATCTTCTGTTAGTTATGTATATATCAAGATAGTATGATAATTCTAAGAATTGACTCATTTATTCAATATCATTTACATTGATTTTATTCGGTTGTTATTAACTAACACTTTCATGCTATTGTTAAACTACTTCAATAAAAAGATTTATTAGTTACACTTAGATAAAAAATAATGGAAAATATTACGAAAAACAAAACTATCATTTCATCGAAAAGTACCTATTACATTTATTTCTTATAGAGTGGTTTGGAAAAAAACTTGGAACAAATTTTTAGTCTGAATGAAACACTAGTTCAATTGTTTTCATCAAAACGTTTTTTCTAATATAGTATATATTTACTTAGTCTTAGAATATCTGATTCATTAACTGCGAAAAATCTCATTTTTATGCTATCAATGAAACTAATTCTAACTTTTTCATAGTGTGTATATACAATTAAGCGAAATATTATGAGATTGTATTGATGAAAATAATCAATTGATATTGTTCATGTTATTTTTCACCAAACTCTATTAATATCATATTTTTATTTTGCCAAATCAATTTTTCTAATTTCTCGCTTATTATTTATCATTGGTCGTACATTTGCAACCCTTGACTGCCAAATATCTTAGAAAATACTGAATTGTAAACTTTTTCAATTAATAATTAGTTATAGGCAATGGTATCTTTGTATATCGGCGAATATTTGTGAGAGGATGAGTTCACATTTTTGAATAATATAATACAACGATCTAGTAGAAATCAATCAGATTACATAAAACCATCAAAAAAAGTTTTAAAAGAATCTAGACAACATGGAATATTTCTATAAATAAATTGTTCCAAATCTTTTTGCAAACGACTAAAAGTATGATTTTGTTAGAATTAAATTCTTCTATAATCTTCATTTTGTTTTTATATTAATACATTTTATTTTATTTATTTAGAATATATTATTTAATAATTTATTATTCTATGAAAAAATAAATTGAAAACAATCGAAATAAAATTTCATTGGGAATTAATCGAAAGAATTTTAAATTTATGAGAATCTAATCATGTTTTCGTTTATTTTTTATGAAACAAATCTTATTGATTTATTGATTTTTTTGATTTTTTCAACATAATTTCTGAAGATAATGTGAAAATCTAACGTAAACAACGGTCTAATAGTAAACAGCCCATAATTTCATTAGTACATATACAGTAGCTTGACTATTCTATAATCTGAACGATAATTTAATATTTGAAATTGAAAAATATTTGTTTTATTTGACTAATAAAATAATATTTGTAGAAGAACTAATTTGTTTTTCAATTACATAGAAATTAGTTAATTAGTGATAATCACTTATTCTCTTTTTCCGTTAGAATATTAAAAAATAATATACCAAATCTTCTCAAAAGATTTTAAAAAAAAATATTTCTAAAAATGAGATACATCTTATGTTACAAATTCTTATACTGTATTATATCATTTAGTCTTTCATAACAAATAGCCGATAAGTCTCGATTAGCTTTGAATATTAACTTTTTTATTCAATAAAATACATCATTGAAAATTTGTTTTTTGAAAAAAAACATATAGTTAAAAATATCCTATGAAATAATTTTCTATTCATTCTACTAGCTCATATAATAAGAAATAAAAAATAAATTTGATAAAAAACGAAAATTTATTCGAACTTCTCTTTCTTAGATTTCATCGAATTAATTCTTTTTAAGACATCATAATTAAACTTTTATTTCAATATTTTAATCAATAAAACAAGACGAGAATTATATAATATACAGAAAAATTATAAGGTTAATATATTCGAAGACGATAGAAAAAGCATATAAGAAAAAGTCGATTTTCAGTTGAATATGTTCTTTTAATATTTTAAATAAATGCCATATGTTGAAATTGACTATATTGACCTTTAGTAGAATTCTATAAGTTTATTTTTATTGAAAATAAATACATTTATTTATTATCTTTCTAATCAATATATTTCTAATTAAATGAGCAAGTACTATGAAGAAATTCTCTTATTTTATTTTGTTTTATTTCTCATAATTAATTCTAATCTAATGAAAAAATTTTAAAATATTAATCAAAGTGAATTTTGAATAAAACAAATCAATAGAATATTTATTCAATATTTTAAATATAAATCATTCGAACAATGTTACTATTATTCGTTTTTCTACTTCGCACATGATCATCTTCTTTCTTTTTCTTATTTTCTTCTATATTTTCGTTAATTTATTTCCTAGTAAGCAAGAAGATGAATTTTATTTAGTTTGATGATAAGTAAGAGTGATGTACGTAGATCGTTCTCTTTCTTCTCCTTATTTTACATTATTCGTCTCTCTCTCTCTCTCCCTCTTTTATGATCCCCTGGATAAGATGGACTTCTCAATAACTAATTATCCTTTCTAAATAAGTTTGTCAGTAAATAAAATCTAAAAATTAAACTTATTTCTAATAAATACATTTAATTGGTATTGTACTGCTGTTTTCTCTAAAACTATTCGAATAATTAGTGTGATAGATAATTCTATAGAGATTTTTGTTAATTATGAGAAAATCAAAGTTTTAATGTTAAATTGTTGTTATTATTTAAGTATATTAATTTGTAAGAAAAATCTTTTATATCGTTTAAAGAATTCTGATTTTAAACACATATTTAATAATATACTCTCGGAATATTTCATTGAGAAGAATAATAAGAAAATGACTGTCAAGATATCTTTCTGGTGTTGCTCTAAAAATAATTTTACAAATAAAAATAATTTAATAAAAATAAAATTTATTAAAAATAGTCTTAAACAATTGTCTCATCCTCATGGAGTAATTGTTAATCACTTAAATAAAATCTATGTGATAGATGAAGAGAATCATCGAGTAATACGTTGATGTGAAGAAGATGAAAATCAATTGTCTAATGTCATTGATTTAGTATTTGATAATGAAGACAAATTGTTTTATTAAAAATAACTAACTTTGATTTTAAATAAAAAATTCTAAAATAAAATAAAAGTATGAAGATGAAAGTATGTCAGGAAAAAGAGAAGAAATTTACTCACTTACATTCTCATGTTAGATTTAATAATTCGAAAAATAAATAAATAAATTTAATTACTTTTCTTCAAGAGTTTATAGCAACAAAATCAGTTGTGAAAAGTTAACTGAAACTTTGTTTTTTACTATTAATTTGACATTTATTAGATTTGTTTTTCTCCTACAAAATATGTTTTAGTAAATGAGAGTGGTTGTGTCTAACTCTTTTATCTTCTGTTTTTCTGTTATTAATGATTAATATGACTGATAAAGACAATTAATTTGTTTTCTAATTATGAATATTTCAGTGAATGATCTTATCAATAAATTTCACTCTTCCACAAATGTTCCACGAGAATGAATATATTAGAAAATAACGTACGTGAAATGATTCGGAAACGAAATTAATAGAAAAAAAACAGAAATAATTTCTTTGGCAAATGTTCATATTATGTATTTGATTACTTGAATAAAGAAAAGTCTGGAAAAATATTTATTAATTTTTCACCTATTTGTTCGAAAAAAAAACAAAATTAATATGTTATTTTCAATGTATATCTCATGATATCTAAATATAAAATAGTGCCATATACACAATAATAACTACTTGTTTTTCTTCATCAACAACAATTTCCTTACTTTCTCTCCCTATATATATACACACGACATATCATCATTATTTAACAAATCAATCATCATCGTACTCGTCTACTACTACTACTACTGCTACTACTACACATCACAGCACTTCTATCAAAATGTTTTCATCTGGATTTGGGTCTTCGGGGTTTGGGTCTTCAGGATTTGGGTCATCAAGATATACGTCTTCTCCATATGGTAGTTCTATGAAATTTAGTGGAATAATGCCTTTTGGAGGGGCTTCCGGATTTTGTTGCCCACAAGTTTGTTGTAATCCATGTGCACTACTTTGTTGTCAACCAACAAAACGTACTAGTACTACTGTTAGAAATAGAAATAGAAATACATTTGAAGATGATTTAATACCTATTGTGGAGGATTATGGTGATTATGGCGATTATGTATATGTTTAGACATTTTTTCCTTCGAATTTTTTCAATTTTAGTAAAATAAATCTTCAATAAAAAAAATAAATTTATTTTATTTCTATAGATAATAATATTAACATATTTTGTTAAAGAATATTTCAGGAATTTTTATTCAATACTAAATAGTAACGACGAATCATGAAATAATATTATCGTCCTTTATTCACTACGAATACATGAAGATAAGAGAAAAATTGAAGACGAAAATAAGAATTATATTGTTGTTTAATATATATAATAAATTCATCAACAATAACATTTATTAGAACAAAAACAATTTTCTCTATTTTTAATATGATTTAGTAGCATTTAAAACGTACAAAAAATAATCTTTGTTTTTCTAAACATGTACTTTGTCATTCATTACAATGAAATATTTGTTAAAATCTTAGAGTGAAACTATTCGTTTGTTAATAATGATTAATGTTTATGTATATAAATGCATGGAAAAATAATATCAATCGAGTGTGAATGGGAGTGGTATTAATAATAGTATACAAAAAAAATTAAGTCACTTTTCTGCATCTAAATTATATTGTTCACAGACGAGTTTTGTTTCAAAAACCATATAAAGTTTACATTGGCTTGTTTCTCGTACTAAAATAATTCTGCTTTTCTTTCCATATTGAACATAAACTATTAATTCTTGATTTAGTTCATTCGAACATGTATCACCTTCCCAATATACCATGTGTAAGTTTTCAAATGTTTGTCCATTCCATGCAGCCCAAGATCCCATATTTACTATATTATCATGTTTTGATACTGTAACGGAAAACCATCTTGAGGGTGTGGGTGTGGGTGGGTGGATGGATGAAAAGCTTGTTTTTATTTAACACCCACACCCACTGTCGACATAATTTAACTTTTTTTAAATTTAAACTACAAAATTAAATAAGTTATTTTTTTTATTTCAATTTATTCTTACCATAATTGCACCTTTAGTATGTTACTATACCAATAAAAACTAAAAAAAAACTTTTATTACGAAGTTCACAAAAAATAATTTGTAGAACTTACCCATAATAATTGAGATAATGTAGATTATTGTTGATGATGATTGTGATTGTTGCACCTGTTGTTGTGATACTTGTTGTTATTCATTTTGTTGATGTTCATTTTGTTGGATTATAAGATTTTGTGCTGCATTCACCTAAAACAAAAAGAAGAATTTTTTATATATTTTTCTGTTATTGAAAACTAATTTTACTTACCTGCTCTTCATCTTCATTAGTATCTGATGACATTTTACACGAATTGGTTATTATTTTGATTTTATTGATTTAAATTCAAATTATATAGTATATATTTGACCTTGATGATCTAATATACCTGGATTAGATTCCAAATAGATGTTATCTTGTGGGTGTGGGTGGGTGTGGATGTGGGTGGGTGAAACGTTTATTCTTATTTAACACTCACACCCACTGTCGACATAATTTAACATTTTTTAAATTTAAATTACAAAATTAAATAAGTTATTTTTTTTATTTGAGTTTATTCTTACCTAAACTTAATTTAATCATTATTCCTATACCAATAATAACTAAAAAAACTTTTAAGATGTTCACTCAAAATAATTTGCAGAACTTACGCATAATAATAATTATGAAGGTAGAGGTGTGCCTTGTTAATAAGGTTGTTACAGATAGAACTGTCTGGAATGATTGTGGCTGTTATTGTTGTTCATCTGCATCATCGTCGTTTTGTATTGACTTTATCCAAAACAAAAAGAAGAACTCCTATGTTTTTCTTTTATTGAAAATTAATTTTACTTACCAACCGTTTCCGAAGACCAGAAATGGATGGCATTTATTCTTATTTAATACAATTTAATAAAATTGAATCAAAACTGATAGAATTGGTTCTTGTAGATCAGCAATTTAATATTCCATTTCAACACCCAGGTCGAACAATCCGGCACGAAAACGGCCGGTTCTGTGAGGGTGTGGGTGTGGGTGCGTGGATGTGGGTGTGTGGGTGGGTGTGGG